GGCCACATGGATTATAAGACTGCTTTAGGGGCACTCCCAGTGCCGAGGGGGGGGAGTCACCCCACAACAGTGGGCCCAAGGTGGACGAGTCTCTTTGGGTGTTGTGGTTTGTGGGCACTGGCCAGGAGGAGGAGGACAGGTCTGACTCATGAGGAAACCTTGCTGTGCCAAGCCCAATGTGAAAAACAGAAACAACTGTGCCAGTAGACTCGGCCTGAGATGATTCCGTAATTATAGCAGGAACGGTGGATCGGGCCCCAGGGCGAATGGGCGTGGGAGGACATAGCTGGCCCGTTGTGACCACTTTGCATCCTGTCCAGAGCTCAGGAATGTTCTTTTATTTTCTTTTTAAGACCTCCAACCAGTAGAGGGACAAGCCCATTTGTGGGGGGTGGTTTTTAAAAAACTTATTCCTGTCGCGATTCCTGCTGTTGGAGCCGGGGAAAGAGAGTTTCTCCCTTTGGGACCTAAATCACGCGGCTGGTTGTAGGAACCGCACACCTTCCCTGGCATGGCTGGCTGGACACCATGGGCTCCTGGACCTCAGGCTGCAAAATATCAGGGATCAGCCGGGCTGCTCTATGAAACTGGTTCTTTTGTCATCCTCTCCTGGGACACCATTTGGGGGGGGGATGGGATGTGTGTGGGGGGGTGTCAGCCTCTGGTGCCTTGCAGTCCCTCACAGATCTCTTCCAGTTGAGTCCTTGACCCAGCGGAGCAAAAAGGCTCCCTTTGCAGAAGGCCCCCTCCTTTCGCCCTCCTTCCATGTCGCTTCTTCTCCCCAGCTTCCTGGAGGAGGTTTCGTCCGCCGGCTTCCGGGGACGAACGGCGGAGAGCGCGCCAGGGACCGCGAGGGCGACCACCAGGCGAGCAAACTGATCCACCTTCCTCCTGGTTACTTCCCGACTGACCCATCTCCATCCTGTCGCCCCCCCCCCTCATCCCATCGCTGGACTTGTTTGTCGCCCTTCAGACTTCAGGTGTGGTTTGGCTACGGTTTCCGTGGACCCTTTCTGGCAGAGCCAGCGGCGAAGCCTCATGGGAACTGTGGTTGCGCAACATCAAGAAGGCAACGTGAATTGCACAGGCTTCCCAATGGCTGGACCAAAAAATAAAATAAAATAAAGGGTCCGCCCCACACTTTGGGGGTGAGCTCATCACACTTCTAGTTTAAATTTTGCAACCGCCTGCAAGAAGAACCAGCTGAAGATGTACAGGAAGCCTTGATCCCCCAAAACTCACTTTCACAAGCTCGGATCAAGACTTCAGAAAAGGACGTTTCCCCGTTGAAAATGCACCTCTCGCCTGCCTCTCTCTTCCACCGCTGCCTGCCTTTCCGTCCAGATGTTCTGTGGCTCCCTTTCTTTGCCTCCTCCGCAGGGGAGAACTGCAAATCTTCCTGTCTCTTTTTCTTACGAGCCCCGGCTGTCGAAAAGTAAATGGTGTGAATGCCAATAAAAGGATTTTATGGTGGTGATTTATGGTAGGAAACCGGTGTGTGTGTGTGTTCTTCTAACAAGGGAGCCGACATGGGGTGGTTTGCGGGCAGGGTGGAAGACCTGATCCAGTACTCGGGACAGCGCTGGTGTCCTGTCCGCCCTGGGAACATCGCAAGTGGAAAGAGAAAAGTCAGAACGGGTCCCTGTGAATCCTGGACCCAACTGGTAGCATCTTGTTCTGAGGGAAGAGTGGCTTGAATTGCCTCATGCTTTATACGGCTTTCATTTCCTCTCGGGTGAAAAGGACAGCTGGGCAGGAGAAATTTAATCGACCCTTCATATGTCGTCGATGTGTTTGTGGAACATCTGTCCTCCTTCAAGTGATGGAAGTCATTCAGAGTTTGTGGAGAGTTAGAAAGAGACGAATTTCATTCATAGTTCATACCAGATCTCCTATAATTGCACTGTGCGAAGGAGGTACTAACAAAACGAGCCTGCTGTGTTTTCATAGTTAATCAAATGAATTGTATCCTCTTTCTTTCCCATTCTCTCTTATCCTCATTTCTTCCTGGGGCTGTAGTTTGGGGTTGAGGTTTTTAATAATAGCATTTCTGTGAACTCAATATCCTTGTTGAATTTCCTCGTGGTGCCTTGAGAAAATGCATGATGGAACATCCTGACGTGGCCCCAGGGTTTCCATGACCATTCTCTGCTTATTACCTTTTTATTCTTTCAGCCCCCTCTTGTCTACCGCCTGGTGGCCCCAAGCTCCCAAGGCTTGTCTTTCTCCCTTCCGTCTTCGTAGCACTGGGCTCAACGGAGTGAGTCACCTTTCTGCTTACTAGTTTGCTTGCTTTAAATCCCTGGTTTGTCCGGGCACTATACTAACAATGAAACAGAAGACTTAGCGGTGTACAAAGTTTCTGCTTTTCTGCCTTGGGATGAAGTGCTTTTGCCATTTTTCTTCCAAGAGCAAAATACAAGTTCACACTTTGCATCTCCAGTATACAAGTTAACAGTTGTAATTTTTTGCTGATTGCTGACTTTCTTTCTCCTGGATATTGCCGACCTCCCACGCTTGAGCCGAGCTGGTGCAGGCGGGTGGCAGCTCGAAGTTCTCCTTGCGAGGTTCTCGCCTTCTTGGGCTCCTTTCTGCTCCCTGAAATCCCCTCCCTTTCCTTCCCAAGGATGCGGCTGCAAGAGTTTGCAGAATCAATCTGTGTTGCCGGAAAGGGGCTCATGAAATCTTACTGGGATGTTGTCCCCTTCCCCCCCTTTCGCATTTTGTAGGGAAACAAGACCTGTTGCCAGGTGCCTCTGTCCCTGCGGGGGCATCTCGCGTCGTAACTCCCGAGCAGAAGGAAGAGGCAGTGTGTGTGTGTGTGTGCTTGTGTGGGTGGCCACACAGCTGAAATGTGGAAAGTCACGGGCTGCAGAGGAGAGAAGGCATGCCAGCCAGCACCTTTAGTCATTGTCATGGGAGAAAGATCTGCTTGGCATAAAACAAGTGCCCACCAAGAGGAAAAGATTGGCAGGGGTGTTTTTCCAGCCAACTCCTAACGCCATGCTCCCCTGGCAGCAGAATTTCATTCTGCTTCTGGAAGGCTTCCGAGAACAGGTTTCCTTCTTCTATGGAGACAGAAAAACCTGGATGGAGGCTATACCTGGCCTCCTGACCACTCCTGGCCCACCTTTGTGAGTCCCAAAGGACCCCTCCAAGCCGAAAGGTGAAATCCACCTTGTGTGGTGGGTCAACCTGATGGTTAGCTTTTGGGATAACCACGGAGCTCTGATCGCCTGAGACCGTCTGGTAGATGGCCTGGTTCTGGTTCCCACTGAGGTCTGGGATTCATCTCTCTCCCTTGAGTACTGAATTTCAGGGAAAGGGTTTTGTTTTTTAAATGTTGAAAGGCTTAGGATGAAGTAAATATTCCATAGGAAGCCAGTCTCTTCCTCTCCATTTTCCCCCTTGCAGTTACAGGCCTTGGATATTGTTACTCAAATGCGGGTGCTGAGTCCATTGCTTGGACAGAGTTGGATAACCCCTTCTGATTATCGAAACCCATCTGCCCTCCACACACTCCCGATCATTGGGGAATGTACTCAGCTGTAATCAGAACCACCAGAGCACAGACAGAGTTCTGACTCCTGTCCTCGGAAGAGGCCCATGGCCACAGAGACTGGCGAAACGTTAGGAAGAGCAACCTTTAGAACACGGCCAAGGAGCCCGAAAAACCCACAACAAATATGTACAGTAATCAGAACATTGCTTTGGGGAACGAATGAGTCAGATCAAATTAACCAGCTCATAATCTCCTCCAGTAATTCAATTTTTACCCTCATTGTCTCCATGGTCGGCACCAGATTTGTTTACTGGCCCCCCAAAGACAGGATGAAGAAGGAGGGATGGCTACGATTTCAGAAGTGGGGGGAAACAAGAGAAGGATGAAGACAACACCCCTCTTCCCTTGACCACTATCCTTCCGATTTAAAGGGCATTGAATCTTTCAATGGTTTAAAATTATTTTGAATTTCCTTGAATGGTCGTAAATTGTTTTAGGGTGGTCTTATGAGGTCTTTTGGTGGGGCGGCCAGCTGATGTGGGCCTCTTACCCTGGAAACGGGTTTTTACCCCTGAGAAAAGGAATGAGGAGTTTGAAGCCCACTCTGAACCCCCAGAGACGCCCTAATATTTGACCCCTTCGGTGTTGCTGGGGCAGGAACTCTTCCTCGCGATGCCCTGTCTAGGATTTGTACACTTTCCCCGTTTTCAAAACTCCCCCACCCCAGAGGGTCCCTCTCTGTTCCCAGGAGAGGGCGGTCGGCCCTTGCTTACTTTCCCCCTTGGAAGCATCGGCCTCAGCCATTTTCAAAACTCCCCCACCCCAACCCCCATGTTCCTGGCAGAGGGTCCCTCTCTGTTCCCAGGAGAGGGCGGTCGGCCCTCACTTACTTTCCCCATTGGAAGCGTCGGCCTCAGCAAGAGCCCAAGAGCCGTCCGTCCTCTCTTTCTGTGCTCGTGAGTGTGGGAGCGGCTGAGAGAGATGGAGGAGGAGGAGGACAGGGTGGAAAGAAGCGTGAGCCGCCCGGGCGGGTGCTCCTGCAGGCATGCTGACCCGTAGCCCGTTCCTGGCACACAAAGGGGCGAAATATACTTTTGGGGTGCTGATGATTCCCCCCCCCTTGGAGAATTGTATAACAGGCAAACAGGAGAACCCAGCCCTGTGTGAATGGGATGCACCGAGAGACCATGAGGAGAGGGAGAGGAACACAGCTTGGGGGGGGGGAACTTCTCCGTCTCCCTCCTGCTCTCTCTGGTTTTCTTTTGATTTTTTTGTTTTTGCCGTTGTTCTCCCGAGCACTTTTGATTCCTCCCATCAGGCCTCTTCTCATCCCGCTTTTGATTTAGCCAAAAGAACACAAAGAACTCATCGTCGACCCTCGGTGTCCTCTCTGTAGCAGAATGTAAACGTGGGCTGTTATTTTCCCAGTTATCTCCTCTCAGTCCATTGTTCTTTGTCCCTTCAGGGAGGATGTAAGAGTTGATGTTCCCAGGGAAAATTCAAGGCTGCTGCCAGGTTTGCCGAGCACAATCCCGGCGCCCTCCGAACTCCTCATCTTTTCAGTTGCCAGAAGTTTTGGTTGTGTTCCCTAGGATCAGGTTTGAAATATTCCTCAACTGAGCAGAAAAGAGTTGCTGGACATCAACCGCAGCCCCTTGAGAACATCCATTCTAATTTCACTGAGAAAACAGGCAGGTTTCTTGTCCTCAGGATCAGAAAATGAGGCTCAGCCTGTGAGATAGCAACAGACAGATCCATGGGCGTCTGCACAGGGCTGCATTGCTTTTCCTGCCTCGTAAGGGGCAGCCAGCCCACCGGCGTCCAGAAAGAGCCAGAAGAGAGGGCATCAAAGGCTTATCCTGCAGGCAGGTCCAGTTGTTCCCACCAAAGGCAGGTCTGGGCCTTGAAGGTGGAGGAGCCGAGGGGAAATCTCTGGATGTCAGGCCAGGTTTTCCAAAACCCAGCACAGCTGCAGAGGAGCACCTCTCTGGTGGCCAGAAGGTATGATTTGCAGGAGTCTCCTTGGATTGGAAAGGTTTTCTCGGGAGCAGGGAGAGGTCAGACAAAATTTAGCTGTGAACAGTGACTCAGCAGATGACTCAGACTTTCCCTCGCTCTTCGCATAATAATATTTCTCAACTGGGCCCTTTTCCTTCCTTTCCTTTCCTTCCTGCCTTCCTTCCATCCATCATCACCTCGCTCGCTCCTTCCTTCCTCCCCTCCCTCAATGGCTCTTTTGGGAGACTTTCCAAAAAGCCTTCAATCCCAAGGTGACTCTTAATTCTGCCGCTTCTATTAATCATGGCCGTAATGCAGCTGTGCATAATTTCTCTCCATCCCCAAATCTGAAGGAGCCCTTACGCAGCATTTTAGCCAGCTACCGAGACCGCTGGCTATCAGCATCTGCCAGCTGTTGTCCAGGGGCTTTTTAACTCCTGTTTATATCCGTGATGGTTAGAAATCTTGTTCTCCCAAATGAAAGCTGAGATTCCCAGGATTTCTCTGGCTTTCTTGGCACCTGCCCAGAAGGTCCAGAACTGGGGATTTTCCTGACAGCCAAGAAAGACAGGAAGCAAGGAATGTACCAAGGATGTCATGTGAACTCCTTCCTGAATACCTGTCTGTGTCTTAAGGTTTTCTCCCTTCCTCCCACACCATTTCCATCCATGCTCAGGTGCCCATTTCTTGGCTGCTGCCCTTATCCCAGATGTCACAGCGACACGCCGCCAGTCAAGACATCTGAAAGGTTCGGACCTACCAGGAGAGGTCATCCTGACGCCTTTGGAGCAGTGCAGCATCATCCTTCTCTTCTCTGCACCCTCCACCAGCTCCAAAGGAGAGCAACCCCCCAGGGGTTGATGGCCCCACCAGAAACCAGCCCCATAAGCAAGTCTAACTGGCTATCCCAAGTCTGACTGGTCCCCAGCAGGCCGCGGTTCATGGGTGTCTGCCTACTCAAGAGTAGGCTTTCTCAATGGCCACCCTGCAGCCTGGAACGCCCTCCTTGGATCCGTCCCTGGGGCAAACACTCCATCTGATCTTCCGACCCCAAGCAGCCTCTGCTTTCACAAACATTTTTAAAACGGATTGTTTTCATTGCTTATAGATTTTTCTGTCTTGATGCCCTAAAAGATGCTTCTCTCTCTTTTTTTAGCATCTTGCAGGGTTTCTTTTTCCTTTTTAAAAAGTTTCTTCTCCTTTTTTTGGTTTAAATCTGCTTTTCTTGCTGCATTTCCTTGCGAATGCAATTTTGGAAGGTGCTGTGTTTTGTTTTTCAAAATCACTGTTGTTGTTTGGGTGTCTTTCCCCCCCCCCAGACACACACACACATCCCTCCCTGATCGCCTGGGGCTGTTAAGCGGAGTGATAAGCGGAGTCAATCAAACAAGCCCTAACGAAGCTGCATCGATTAGAGACGAACTGGGGGGGGGAGCTGGCCACCAAGGTTTCTGGGGGTCGCAGGTGCTGAGGAAAGCGGGGTGCCCCCCCCCGTTCGTCCTTCCCCGCTCCTCCTTTTCCTCCGGCCCTCGGTTCCCTTTGCACTTCCAGATCCTTCTGGGGCTCGTGGTGGTGGTGGTGGTGGAGGGGGGGGCGGTTTCTGCCCCTCTGCAAACTTCTCCATTTCTGGCGCTGGCGGGGCCGGGTCTCTCC